TCCAAAAAAAAGTGAAACAAAAAATTTTGTTTAATAAATCGAATTATATCAAGTATAAGAATATGCTTAAATTATTTTTTTAGAAAAAAAATTTTTTGAACAGAAGTAATATAATTTATTAAATTAAATTTAAATTTTTTATAATTTTTATTTGATGTTTGCAATAGAATGTTTCTACTTTTAAAACTATTTTCAAGAAAAAATATATAATTCAAAACGTTAAAAAAATTTACGATTTAAGAAAAGAAAACTTTCTTCTTTTCTCCCTTGTTTCATCAACTTTTTTTTTTATTTTTAAATTTTTAAATCACAAAATTATTTGAATAAGTGAATTTTAAGGCTAAAGTTCTCTTGTTAAATTGATTTCTTTTTAAATAAAATTCTTGAAAACAATTGCGTATTTATAGAAAATGTTTAGTTTAAATGTCGCTATAAATAAAATGAAAATATAAATAAAATGAAAATATAAAAAAAATGGTGTCGCGTTTTTCATATTCTATTTGACAATTTTTGTTAAAATAATTATTAGTTAAAAGCTTATATTATGTGTTAACAACATTTAAGATCTAAATTGAACTAACTTTTGTGAGTATATTAAATAAATTAATATAATTGTTAAATTAATACTTGAGTAACTGTAAGTTACTATCTTAATTTAACTGGTTGTTTTGATTTAGGTTATAAGTTAATTTACTCTATCCATTTAGTAAAGTTAACTAAATATAACTTCAATAGTTTCAAGGTCGTTAAAGCGAAAAACGTGAAAGCAAAAAAGTTGCTGGTTTCTATTAGTACAATTTTACTAATAGAAATTTTATTTAATAAAAACAAATTTATATATATATTTTATCATACTTAAAGTAATAAAAATAATTATATAAAATTGTTTATAAAATAATAAATTAAATTATTATTATTAAGTTAATTTGGAGCAACGTTTCTTTTAAAAAAAGATAAAAATGCTGTTTTGTTGAAGAAATAGAATGAAGAAAAAATTATTTTTAACTTTTGTCTTTTTAATTTGCTTCTACACAGAGATTTAAAGTAGTTTAAATTAAAAAATGCTTTACGTTGAATAAAAATCTCCGCGCAAAAGAGAAAATGATCATGCTTCTATTCAAAAGCAAATGATCATGCTTCTATTCAAAAGCCAAACTTTGCATGACATACTTTATTATGAAAACATTACTTTTAAGAATTGCCAAAAAAAAGCTAAATTAAAAAATAGTAAATAAACAACTAAAAAAGTAAACCAATCGCGAAAATATATGTTTTAAGAAAAAAATAATCGCGAAGGTGTAAAAAACAATTGCATTTCGCGATCGCGAAATGCGATTGTTTTTTACACCTTATAAACATATAAAATATAAACATAAAATAGTTTATTACTGCAATAATTAATTTATCACTGGTTCTTTAAGAATATCAAACAAACATACATACATACACAAATAAAGACAGATTTTTATACATTAATGCATACATACATACATACATACATACATACATACATACATACATACATACATACATACATACATACATACATACATACATACATACATACATACATACATACATAAAGATTTTTATAAATACATACATTTATACAGATCTTATACAGAAACATACAATATATACATACATAAATATATTCAATGTGGCTTTATCTGATGAGAGGTCCAAATGAAACTCATAAAACAGGTAAATGAGTGTCCATTTTTCACAATATATTGCAATCAGAAATATAAATTGGCCTGAGGAGCTGCTTCATGCGCTACATATACTCAAATCACTAAAACTTTAATAACATTCCTGAACTATCTTTAAATTTTAAGAAAAATCACTTAGTACTTTTAGCAACTTTTTTTGGAAGCTATCAGAACTCTGTAGAAATATTTAAAAAAGTTGCTCATTACTATAGCAAACAAAGGCACTTTTTATTGTTAAAAAAACAAAAAAAAATTACAAAATCAATTAACAAACAAACAAAAAGAGTATATGATTGTGTCAGTTTACAAAAAACAAATTCATTCATTCAGTTGGAAAAAACATTTTGAAACTAATGAAAATAATAAATTTTTAAATGCTGTAAAATTTGTTTTAAAATTAATTTAAATACATTACAAATATCTAAAAAACTCAAAATGTTTACACCAAAAAGTAGACTTGATAATTTGACTTGATTAATTTTTAAGGCTTATATTAAAGACATAAAATAATCATATTAAATATATATAAAAAGTAAAGATTAAAAACCTCCTCTTCTGGCTGCCAACAAAGATCTTGAGGAGGAGAAAACAAAGTCATTAAGCAGCCTCTATAATACCAAAAAAATTATAATAAACTGAATTGTATAAAAAATGGTTTCTTCCAATATGTAATAATATGTACAAAGAATATTATGTAAAAAAACTAGTACAATTATACCTCAATTAATTTTTCACCCCCTTCTTCACATCCAATATGATATCGTTTTTGAATAGAATGATATTGCAACAACTCTTTTATTATACCCAGATGACCTTCAAGTAAAACATCATCTGTTGATTCATGTGAAGATTCCACACTGAAGTAGGCATTCTAAACCATTTATGTGAAAAAAATTTAATTGTGTTTATTAGTCATTTGTTCTTGTCAATATTTATTGTTGTCTGCTGTCTTGCTTGTCAGTCTCAATATCTATGGTGATTTGTCATTGGCTTTGTTTCAATTTTCTCTGTTAAATTATTTATGTTGTTTTGTGGTTTATAGTCTGGTTTTGTGTTTGTTGATGTATTTTGTTACATGCAAGTGGTCAAGTTTGATTATCCATTTGACATTTGAAGCCTGTAGTTTACTTTTTGTTATGGACTTTTAAATATTTTGAAGTTTTCACCTGGACATTACGCAACCATTTAAGTTCTTGCTCCATAATTTTTGTTGCATTTTGCAATTGAAAGTTAATACTTCTACCATAGTTCAGTAATCTATATATAAATATATATATATATATATATATATATATATATATATATATATATATATATATATATATATATATATATATATATATATATATATATATATATATATATATATATATACATGTATATACATGTATATATATATATATATATATATATATATATATATATATATATATATATATATATATATATATATATACATGTATATACATGTATATACATGTATATACATAAAATGAGCAAAGAGAAGAATATGATTATTATTTTGATATTTTTTTCTGTAATACTTAGCTTCACTCAGTATTATCAAGTCTATTTAGAAAATAATATCTAAATATTAAGCAAATCCTGCTTATTCCTCATAAGTCTAATCCTAACGAGTTAAGGTTAGGAAATAAAAATTAAAACAGAACATTTAAATTTATAAGTTTATAGTTTGATAGCAAGAAAGAACGATTTGAGCTGTCAGTTTTTTTAACATTTAGTTTAGATTTATTAGAAACATATTAGTACAGGAGCTTTATAATCGATATGATTTTACTATTTTAGTGTTCCAATATTCATGTAGTAGTTTGGTGTAGATTGTTTGAAACAATTGTGAGTGATAGACTCAAATAATTTAATAAAAACAAAAACCCAAACTAAACCCTCAGTCGATGTAGCAGCACTCTGTTGCAAGTCAGGCTATAAGATAGTCACTCTGTTGCAAGTCAGGCTATAAGATAGTTTTATTTTTAAAAAATAAAAATATTCAGAATGTTTTTATTTTTTAAAAATAAAAACATTTTGTTTCTAATTTAACAACCAACAAAATTACTACTCCCAAGCAAACTGATGTTAAATTTTATAGGTAAACTTTTATTTGTTATGATAAACTTAGAATACATTCTATTTATTTGAGCTTTAGTTTAAAAATCAGAAAAAACATTTTTTTTTTATTTGAGCTTTCATTTTGAAATCATAAAAAATGTTTTATTTATTTGAGCTCTCATTTTGAAATCAGAAAAAGTATTTTTTTTATTTGAGCTTTCAATTTAAATCAGAAAATACATTTTATTTAATTGAACTTTCGTTTTAAAACCAAAAAAAACATTTTTTATATTTGAGCTTTTGTTTTAAAAACAGAAAATAACTTTTAATTTAATTGAACTTTCGTTTTTAAATCAGAAAAAATAATTTATTTATTTGAATTTTTGTTTTGATATCAAAAAATAAATAAAAAGAGGTAGAGAAATATTGTAATAAAATCTTTTTTAAAACAGAACATGAAACTTTTATTTAATCATAAAACTTTATTTATGGACTAAACTCTTTAATTTCTATAAAGCATCCATAAAGTACATATACAGTATGTACTTTATGGATGCTTTATAGAAATTAAACCCCCTCCCTCCTTAAATGCAATTGTATGCTTTCAACAACCACCACCCCCTTCCATACTCTCAATAAATGCATTATTTATTACAAAATAAACCTTTCTTTTTGTTGCTGTGAACCACTAATTAGAGTTGGAAGTTACTGGAAGCGAGAGAAGATTGAGAGACAAAGATTGTAGAGCAAGATAACGATTGACAGACGACTTAAAAGATTGCAAATTATATGAATCAGGAAAGCAAGATAAAGGAAGCAAATTTCAAAGAACTGATGTTCAAGGAAAAAAACTAGAGGAATAAGAGCAGTCACAGAAAAAGGATGAGACTTTTATGACGAGTAATACGAGAATAAATTTTAGTTGGTGGCACAAGAGACGCTAGCTCTTTAGAGCAGTGCCCATTATAGTATTTGTAGAAAAGAGAAAGAGAAGCAACATTACGATGATGTGATAATGGTTGAAGGTTGGCTGCAAGAGCAGGTCTAATGTTTACAATGCATTTTTGCACCCATTTTAAAATAGAAAGAGCATCATTAGAAGATTAGCCCCAGATATGGCAACAGTATTCCATACAAGGCCGGATTTGAGATTTATAGAAATATATTTGGGATTTATAGAAAATAGAATCCAGAGTGAGAAAGTATCGAGCTTGATAAAGAGATGCACCTTTAGCAGATGCTAATTTTGCAACGGATTTGATATATGGTTTTCAAGAGAGATCAGAAGTAAGAGTTAATCCTAGAAGATGAAGGGTAGATGACTCATCAAGTACATTACCGTTCATAAATATAGGAAGGTCTAAATTATTGCAATAACGATTGGCTGAAAAAAATTGAGTTTTATCTGAATTAAAGTTTACCAGCCAATGTGAGCCCCATGCTGTAGCAGAAGTGAGATCCTTTTCAAGCTCAAATACCCCCTCCAAGCAATCAGAGGGAGTTGGCTTCTTATCATGACAAGAATAAATGGTAGTATCATCAGCAAACAATGCCACTTTAGATTTGAGAATATCTGGAAGATCATTAATGTAAATTAAAAAAAGTAAAGAGTCAAGGATTGAACTTTGAGGAACCCCTGATTCAAGATGAGAGATTAAGTGTTTGCTTATTAAAGATTCAAAAACCTTGCTTATGATAGGAAGAAGACTAATAGGGCGGTAGTTAGATGAATCAGATCACTCTCCAGAATTTTTAAAAATGGGGATAACAGATGCTGCTTTCCAGCAGGCTCAAAAACAAGACTCTGATAAGTTGAATAGTTTGAAAGGATAGACGACATTTCCGGAGAACACTTCTGCAAGACTATAACAAGTATGTTGTCCGGGCCACAAGCAGTAGAAGATTCTAAGCAGGAAATCACTTTAGATACAGAAGCTGGAGTAATACGAATGTGACGCAATGGATCAACTTGTTTGACAGCTATATCAGGTAGAACGCAACTAGTGGAATCAAGAGATGATATTGATGAAAAGTTCTTAGCAAATAATTCAGCTTTGTCTTTAGGTGAGGTGACAAAGCCTGAACCATACAAAAGAGGTGGAATAACAGACTTGCCCTTATTATTACTACTATTAAAGATTCTCCAGACGTCATGAGAGCCTAATTTTTGTGATGAGATACAAGATTTCATGACCTGAAAATAGCGGGCTTTGGCATTAGACAAAACCTTTTTACAATGGTTTCTAGCAGTAATAAACAGACGTCTGTTTTCTGGAGAATTGTTTTGCTGATAGATATGGAAGTAATGGTTTCGATTGGCAATTGCAGCAGCACGATGTGTGGAGAAGAGTGAGGCTTGACCTAGAATCGTCGAGAGGGAATAAAGGATTCCATGCCAGCCTGAATCCACGAAGTTACACAGAAAGCACATTTGTCAACAAGTAGACGAAAGATTTCTACCTAAGGGCCATCACGAAGAAAATCATGGAAAGAGCCCCAGACAGATTTAAGGTAGTTGTAAGATGTACAATGATAGGGGGATTCTGTTGATGAAGAAGACATAAGTCGATTAGAGAAAGTAAATGATTCCAGTTGTCTGGAAAGCGAGTTGGAAAGTTGACTATTTGAGTTAGGGATTGAGAAAGGCAAAAGTTGTGGGCTTTAATACCTGCAGAGTCACTGACACTAGAGCCAAGCTACTCAGTGTGATGATATCTACTCAATATGATCAGAAATAACACCAAGAAGAGAGCAGTCTTGAGATAAAGGAGAGCGATACAGAACAATGAGAATGGCAGTAGAATGCTAAACCAAATTGGTGCTAAACCAAATCACATAAATAATTAGTCGGTGGATTCAAAACCTAGTTTCCTAACAAATGGGTGAATTCTTACAAATGTAAATGCCGAGGCCAAGCATGTGACTATTGGAGTCTTTACGAATTAAAGGAATATTACCATCAACACTAAGATCACAAGATAACACAGCTAAACTTAAATTAGTTTCACAAAGAGCAAGTAGGTCTGGTGAACTTTGCAAGAGATGAGACTCAACAGAAGGAAAGTTACTTCGAAGACCTTAAATATTAGTGAATGATAGGTTTAGAAAACTTGGTGATGGCAATGTTTTTTTGTGTTTTATAGTTTTTGTTACTTTATTCATTTTTAAATTTGTTAAAGAACTTGATTTGAAGCATAGATAGTACTCAGTACACAGTTTAATAGCCCAAGCATTTGCCTCATTACTATTAATAAACCCTAAGCCATAACCAAGGGCTCCAATGTGGCGTTGACAATGCACACCAAAAGTACAAACAGGAACACCATCCATGCACAACATGGCACTGATAGTACTTTGATATTTTTCAGTTGTTGATGGAATCAGCCTCTCTAAGAGCTACCACAGAGTTTAGGAAACCTGACTACCAGCTGGTCTCAGAACCATAAAACTGAGTTTTAGAGCTGTACCCTCATTAGGAGATAATAGAATGAGTCATAAAAACGGAGACACAAGCAAAACCCATGCATCAAGTCAAGAAGATCCAGCATTCAACATCTTAATCTGGAAACAATGTATTAAAAATACATCTGCGCCAGCCTAATAGATGAAGAAGGGGTGCGAGGCAGGTCAACAGAATCTGTTTACCCCTTCCAATCTCTCCTTCCAAAAAAACTTTTAGTTAATTTGAAATATGGTACATAGCATAATATAGATAAAAAGAAAAAAGAAAAAAAATCAAGATTTAAGAGTTAAAGAATGAGATCAATGTCAGCAAGCCAAACCATGTTTGTACTTGCTGTCACCCCCATCTTCTTTCTTTAACGCATACTAATGTTTTTGTGTAACCTCTTCTTCTCCCATACCTGGGTACGAACCTTATAAAAGACCTCTAATTGAAACAAAATTTCAAAGGAATATTGATACCCAGGTTTATCTCTGCTTTCTAAATATATATAAATTTGAAATAGCAACTTTTTTTTAATGTTATTTTCAGGTCAAAAATTTAATACTAAGTTTAATACAAGCATGCCTTTTGAAGATATTTATTTTTTAGAGTCATGACAAGTTTATTTGATTTGGAGGTTTTTTAGTAAGTTTTTGTTTTGCTTTAAAACTCTATATATACGTATTTTGTTGTTAATAACAGTTATATCAAAAATTTCAACATAAGATTTTTGTTTGCAGTCTCCATAGTATATTGGATACTCTTATACTGTTTGTTTAATAGATTTTAACATTTTTTAACATCTCCAATACAGTCGAATGAACAAATATAACTATTTTCATCACCATAAAATTCTTATAAGAAAAAACACATGGCAGACAGGAGTTTAATTTATAAATAAGTTCAACTCTATACTTACCTTTATTTTATTGTAAAGTAAATAAATTATAGGTAGGTAAAACCTACCTATAATTTATATATACATGCTTTTTACTATGTTATTTCTAAATGTTGAAAATATAAGATAAATTTTTCATAATTTTTTTTTATTGTACATTTTTGTTTTGGGGTAACACTGACAGAAATGTCAAGTATCATGGTGATTATTATCATAAGAACATTTTAAGTGTAAAAAATTTATGTAATTTTAACAAATGAAGAAACATGTGCATACAACTCAGAGACTCTTTGAGATCGTTGCAATGTTCTGAAAATTGTGCAAAATTAAATAAATAGTGGGTGAATGGGATTAATTGAAAGCAAATTTTTGAGGATAAATTGAAAAACACATATTGGGTTGGACAATCTCTTTCTGCTAATCATACATACTAGCTGTCCAAAAACTCAATATGGGTCATGGTTAGTTTGCTCCATACCTACCATTCATATACTTTTTATTATTTTTAAATTATTTTTCTTTAATTTATAGTAAGTGCTAGAAAACAATAATCTTTAAACTCATTGCTTTGAGTTAATGATTACTGTTCTATAATTTATAACTTCTTACATACCTGTAAAGTCTCCCCTTTTTGGCCAAAGTCTCCTAATTTTAAAAATGGAAAAAAAATTTAAAGTCTGTTTTGTGTTTTTGTTTGGATGATTTGTGTTCTAGTAGTATTCCTATTTCTAGTAGTAGTAGCTGCAATGGAGAACGTGTCAATTAAAACAAAAATAGGATTAATATATTGCGGATGCCCTAGGTGCACTTCTTACTCCTTTAACACATATTTATAATGAGCGACGAATTTCTTCTGAAATTTTGATGTTTTAAGAAATTATTAACTTCTTAAAATTTTTTCATTACATCAATTAAGAAATTTTGAAAAAAAAAAAACCATTTATCTATTGGGCTGGTAAAAAGAGTAATTTAAGATTTAAATATAGATATGTATATAGTATCTATATAACTATCGAATTGTTTTATTTTATAAAAAAACTTAATGGCAAAGCGGAAGGATTTGAACTCTTACAATGCACTAACCCTATCAATAGTAGCATAGCAAGCTAATCAATTAAGACACCTAGGTATACTATGCTCATGTTTTTTAACACTATTTGTTAAGCAAAAAACAGTTTAAATACTTACATACAGTTTATAGCTTAGAATTATTTATTTTCATAACTTTTTAAATTAGATAAATAAATAAACCACAAATTCAAGACATATTTGCCGCAATGCAAGTAAAAAGTAAAATTGTAAAACTTTAAACAAAATTTAACGTTTACATAATTTTAAATTTACATAAGCTGGATATAGTTACATTTTTTTAATGACGAAGACTTTTTTTTACCATTAACTCAGGTTTAACTCAGGTTGAGAAAATTTCACAATTAATAAACGTACCATTAATAAACAAAATTTTGCTAATAAAGTTTTGGTTTAAATCAATATATGGTTAATTCTAGATTACATTTTACATAACATTAGATTTTAGATTAAACATTACTCTTTCTTTAAATTAAATACAATACAAAAAGACAAATATATAAACACAAAATAAGACATAAATAAACAAGTTAAGTATATAATTTCTTTTTAATTGATTTTACATTTTTTTTTATTAAAAATTTTATAACTCTCTAAAATCCTCTAAAAACATGAAATTTTCTCTTTTACAAAGTGTCACTACCACTACTGTGTTTACCATTGACAAATTACAAAGTGTAACTACCACTACTGTGTTTACCATTGACAAATTAAAAAGTGTAACTACCACTACTGTGTATACCATTGACAAATTACAAAGTGTAACTACCACTATTGTGTATACATATTGACAAATTACAAAGTGTCACTACCACTACTGTGTATACCATTGACAAATTACAAAGTTTCACTACCACTACTGTGTATACCATTGACAAATTACAAAGTGTAACTACCACTACTGTGTATACATATTGACAAATTACAAAGTGTAACTACCACTACTGTGTATACATATTGACAAATTACAAAGTGTCACTACCACTACTGTGTATACATATTGACAAATTACAACATTAAAAAATACACTTTTATATTATCCACACAATTTGCCATATTTGCAATTATAAAATCTATGTGTATAAAATTTAAAATATTTTTTAATAATATAAATCTTTTTAACAATTTTTAATAAGAGGTAAGTTAAATGTTAAAAAAAATAATGGTTACAAAATAAAATGATAAATAAATAAGGTAAAAAAAATAATGATTATTAATTATTAAATAATAACATAAACAGTTTTAAAACTAACGTCAGTAAAAAAATCTATATTTTGTGTTTTCGTTCTTTTGAAGAAAACTTTTTGTTCTCGTAAAGAAGAAGTTACTACACAAAATATATTGTGATTCCTTCAAACTATTTTTTAAACAATGTTTTAAATTGTATGTAAAGGAAAAACTTTGCTGTTGAAATGTGCATTACATACAATTGTAAAAAAATTGAAAAAACAAGTTAGAAAAACTTTTAAGATCTTTGTTTGTTTATAACATACAAAGAATGCAAAAAAAGAAGAAAAATATAAATTAAAAAAAAGCAAAGTCATGTGTGATAAAAAACATGTGTGACAATTATAAAACTTAATGAATGGTTTATATTTAAAAGAAAAAATAAGTTAAGAATTAATAAAAGTTAGAGAGAAAAATTAAAAAGCTAAAAGTTATAGAGAACTAGTTAAAGATGTTAAAAGTGTAAGTTAAGAAAAGTGTAACTTAAGATGGTGTAGGTGTAGATTAAAAAAGGTGTGAAGTGTAAATTAAGGTGTAAGTTAAGAAAATATAGATCTCCAAGATTTTTCTACTTCATATTAAGTTGTAACTACTCTAAAATTACAGAACTATTTTTCTATTCATATTTCTTGATTGGTGAATGATCTGACAGTATAAACTATGGAAAAAAGGTATAAAATTTATATCTTTATAATTTTATGTCAATTGATGATATTATATGATGATATACATCTATTGATAAATTGTTTTAATATAACTCATTAAAGCACTAGAAAGAGTAATATTTTTATGTAATTCAGATCATAAATATAGGTTGTTAAATAATAAATTATAACACAAACACAAGAATACCTGCATAACACAAACATAAGAGCACCTTAACAAGAAAAACACAAGAATACTTGCATAATACAAACACAAGAATACCTGCATAACACAAACATAAGAGCACCTTAACAAGAAAAACACAAGAATACTTGCATAATACAAACACAAGAATACCTGCATAACACAAACATAAGAGCACCTTAACAAGAAAAACACAAGAATACTTGCATAATACAAACACAAGAATACCTGCATAATAAATTAAAATACTCTTGAGACTGCACTGAGTGCTCTGTGGCTTTTGTCTAAATAAAAAACTTTGTTTTTGAAATTAAAAATTATTATTATTATTACATTATTATTGAAGATAACAAATGATTTAAAGACTTTCATTTTCAGCACACATTAAACCCTTTGTAAAGGGTTTTATGTGTGCTGAGATTAAAACACTTCAAGTTAAAACCTATGACTTTTAATTGATTGCTGAAATCTGATTGGTTTAAACATAAAATACTAAATCAAGTTAACAACATATTCTTAACCTTTCAGATTTATATGTAAACACAATAAAGCAAGGGTAATACTATAAATTTAATTATTTACATCTCTCACTGTGAAAAGTAGTTGAATGAAGAACTTTAAAGGTTTTTCTAAACTGCAGCATTTAGTTGCAATTAAAAAGCATTGCTCTGCTGCTGTTGAACGAATTGTGCTAAAATAAAAAAAAATGCAAATGTATTACAGAAAAAACACAAACACATAACATAAAAAATACTATAACCAAATAATATTACAATATAAACAAAACCATATAATATTATAAGAAAAATATATAAAAGTGTATATATAAAAAATAATAAGGTATATATATCCAAAATTACAAAAATACTAACACAATCATTTTACAGTTTAAACATTCTATTGAGCATCCTAAAAATATTTTACCTGGATGTGCAAAGCAACAAAGTGTCAACAATAAATAAATGCCAGGAGTTATCCCTGATTAATGTTTCTAGAATTGGAGGGCATAATGTTAGAGCAATGGTCATAACTTCAAAAGCTTCCTTAGCTAAATTAGAATCATCTAAACTTGCACACTTTTGTAATTCTTCATGTTTTTCAAAAAACTGATGAATGTGAATAACATCTGTTTGGTGTAAAGATACATCGCCTGCAGCAGCACTCCAGCAAATCTTTTGTACAACTTTTACAAAATTAATGTCAGGCATGTACTTTGTTGCCCTAGAACCTAATGCTTGTCCTAGCTTGACAGATATACTTCTTAGAACAAATTCAAAGTATGTATTTGGGATGTGTTGAGTAGCTTGTTGTAAAACAATAGCATAGTTGTGTTGTGCACTGGAGACAGCAATATCTTTTCCAGAGTCCTTGTGCAAGGCCTCAGCAACAACGGTAATATGTGCAAAGCAAATAGTTGTCAAAAATAACTTTGATATTTTGAATAAGACAGTGTAGGCCATTCTAAACATTTTAAACTAAACAACTTGAAAAACAAAAATTTTAAAAAGTTAATTTAATAAAAAATAAAAAGCAGAGAGTTAATCATTGGAGTTTTGTTTTGCTAAATAATTTTTAATTTAATTAATCTGTAATTATCAAACAAATAAGCTGGGTATTAGAGTCCAGTGAGTTGGCTGGGTATTAGAGTCCAGTGAGTTGGCATTATATTTCAGTGAGTGATTATATTTCTAATAAGTTTTTAAAATTGCTGAGGTTAAATTACATAATTATAATAGTAAAATACCTTTTTATAAGTGTATTTGCTCCATGCAAAAAAGTTTTGTTTGTAAACAAATTTAGAATGCTGTCAATGCCCCCAGCTAATATTATACTATGTTGGAAACTTATTGGGTAATTTTCTAATGGTTCCATTGCAGGAAGTAATAAAGCATAAATAATCTAAACAAATTTAGAAAACTTGATGTAAAAAAAATAACTCCTTTGAAAAGCATTAAAATAATAATAATAATAATAATAAATACCTCAAGATTATAAAGAGCCTGTATTGGTGTCACTATTGAAAATAGTTTGTCTAACGAAGACATTCCTTTTATCATGCTGTTATGACATAATGTTTTTATATTATTGATTGTTTCAACATCTAAACATTTTTTCAAAAACAATTTTTTTAAACACTTAAAACCTATTTTTATTTATTTATTTTACTTGATGAAGACTAATAAAATTAAAATAAAAAAAATAGTTGAACCTGAAGAACATATGTTCAACAAATTAAGGACAATGTTTTGTAATTCTTCCAAATGAAACTTCATAGCTAAATCTCCAAGAGTAAACAAAGTCTGAACAAACTTTGTCCTAGACAATATCTAAAATTTATATTACATATTTTTTAAAGTGTTATTAAATTATTAATTAATACAATAATAAAGACTTAAAATAAATTCTAAACATGTTTAGAAGACACAGCTAATTAATGTTAATTTTTAAATATTTAAAATTGGACATTAGTATGCAGCACTTACAACACTAGGTAATAAATGCTCTGTTTCAACATTAGGTCCATCGCCACATAGTGGGGTAGGTGGCGGTGAAGTATCTGAAGATGAATCAGGAGAAGATGGAATACTATTGGATGACGAACCTAATTTTATTGTAAAAACCTAGAGAAAGGAATGTTATTAATAATTTTAAATTTTCTTGATTAAAGTATTAAAAAAAAAAAAAAAAAAAAAATTACACATACGCCTCTATCTTTGATTGGCAAATCGCTAATTAATTTACGATCATCAGTTGGGTTGAGAACATCATTATTATAACAAATATCTAACTTTATTGCTTGAACTATATTTTTTAAACTAAAAAAAAAACCAAAACAAATATTTCTAAGGCTAAATATCAAAATATTTTTATAAAACTATACATAAACTCATTTTTCTAAAATAATGCTAAAGAGAATATAAATAAAAAATTACCGAACATATATCCTTCTTCGAAGTGAGGCAATTGATTCATTAGAATGAGACCATACTTCAAAGTCTTCAATTTGCCGATTTTGTTGTGGAAAGCGAACATATAAACAAATTTGCTTTCCACGAGCAGACCTTTGTATAAATTAAAAAGTTTAAACATAATGCTTTAAAGATTTTTTTCTTTATTTATATTTTTAAAAAATTAACTATAACAAAATCAAATTTAAACTACAAATAAACAATATAAATTTTATTTTTTAACCTTTCATGAGCAGGAATAGCTCGTTCAATACAATAATTTTTGTCAGACTCCTCAATATAAACTTTAAGGGCTCGCAAGCATGCAGTTACTTTGCGAGCTTGCTCAAGCATAGTAGCTTTTCCAGTTGGAGTATTATAATCAGTGTTGCACATTATTTCTTCACATGGATGTATGCGATCACTACAAGTTTTAATAAACATTGAATGGATTTCACTCTAAATAAAAGAAAGTTTTTATGAGATTTTTTTTTTTTATTAAAAATTTACTTTCCAAGGGCTAGGGTCTTTTTTTCCAAGGTCTCTAGAATAAAAATTTAACAAAGCTGCTTTACAAAGAAACAAGTTAAGTGCTGTTATACCAGAAGTATATACTCTAAAGATCATATACAGAGATATACAAGTATATAGCTAAAGTACCTAGAGTAAAACTCTTGGAATTTTTTAGACATAATTTTACTTTAAATTTATGACTAAAAAAAAATTTTTTTATAAAGATTCATTAGAACATATTTTTCATTTTATTAAAAAATAAACCAATACAAGCAAATCTTTTCAAGTAAAAGAGATATGCATAATTAATTTTAAAATTTTAGCAATCAAACCTGCTTTAACTGCGAGCCTATATTTGTGTAAATTTCTCGAAGTACTTCTATTGCTTGAGTAACTATATCCACGGAAGCTTGAGTAATAACCTTTAGACAAGTAACTTCATTGTAAAATATTTTTTAATTATTTTTAATTTTATTTATTTATATATATTTTACATATTTAATTAAAATTCATATATTTAATTTCATATATAAAATAAGATTTTGGTTCTTTAACAAAAAAGATCTAACAACAAAGAAAAGTTAAAAAAAAAAGTGAAAGTGACAACTATTTATTCTGCAATTGCATTGACTTATGTACTAATTGTGTCTGTCTTGTAAACTAGGTACTAGTTGTGTCTGTTTTATAAACTAGGTACTAATTGTGTCTGTCTTGTAAACTAGATACTAATTGTGTATGTCTTGTAAACTAGGTACTTGTCTACTAATTTTGAAATGGATTCAAGCATTTAAAAAAAATAGAATTCAAAGTGTATTCTCAGAAAAAAACATTTAGTAGAACGTCAGAAGAATCTCTCATTTGGTTTTTGCTATTTATTATTATTTTTAAATGATGTACCAACCATGTTCAATAGCAATTCGAAACAGTTTAAACAATTTTAAATTATTTTTATAACTAATCATAAACGGAAGCAGCAAGTAGGTAGCAGCATGTTTATTAAAAACTCTATGATGTTAAAAATGGCTTTACTAAATTTGATATAAAATTAGTCAAAATTCTATTCTTGGCATAAATACTTGGTTTATCAGACTATTAATTAGGTTTGCTATTCCTCTATTGTCACATTTTATAAAGGTAATAAAAATGTTTTTGAAAAATGTGTAATAATAAAAAGCCTAGTTTTTTTTTTTTGTTTTAAATAAGAGGAGACACTAGTAATATTAAATGGATCAAAGAATAAGTAAAAATTAGTTTCAAAATATATTAAAACCTATTAAAAGAAAAAAAAAACATATTAGCAAGTAAAATGTAAATATTGAAAATTTATATAACAGTAAAAAATGCTAAACAATTATTCAAATGAAGTCAATAATACATAAAACTAAAGTCAAATAAATAAAAAAAATTTGAAACTTGCCTTCCATAGATAGTCATAACCAATCAACTGTGTATGCTCAAGAACAAATGCGCCATTTCTTTTTTTTTGAAGGTAACCTTCTTTCAAATTTACAAACTTGAAAAAACGCTCAAAACATCTACAAAACAATTGAAAATATAATACAAATTTTAATTTAAAAATAAATAAAAAATTCACAGAAATATTGTAAATACAAGATGCACAATACTTGTTATAAATAATATCAATAATGATATTTAAAATTTAGTTAAATTTAAATGCATTTATTTGACATGAACTCTTCCCATACATAATATCATACTTGTCTTATCTACACCGAATATCAACATCATTCTGGTCTCACCTCACCAAATATCAAATTCATACTAGTCTCATCTAAACCATTTTACACTACTCCATTCATACTAAATATCTTTCGCAACATGCACATCAGTAAAAACAAATATTTACCTCATACAACTATATTAATATCAAATAAAAGTTTGCAATTTCTAATAATTTTTAGTTTAAGACAAAAAAAGTTTAAAATAAAAGTTTAAAATAATAAAAGTTTAAAATAATAAAAGTTATTAAAAAGCTTTTCAAAAAAAAAATTTTTTTACTTCAACCCATGTTCATTCAGCATGGTAGGATCAGTTTTCAGGACATTATTTTCAAAGAATTGCCTAGTTATATCTGGGTCTAAATCTGGATCATCTCCCATTACCTAATATAAATAAATTGAACATGAAATTATTATTAGAATAAAAATTAAATTCAACTAATATGTTATAAATTCAAACATCTATTTTTTATAGTAAAACATTGATTTACCAAAATACTATTTCAATATAGGAAATAACTGGTTTAAAACTTACCACAGAAAACCATTTAAAACAAATATCTTGATCCACAGGAAAAACAGAATTAATTGCTAGACAAACCCAGATCTAAAACAAATAAGTTTTGAACAAAAATATTTATTATTATTATTGTTGTGGTTATTGTAAGTACATATATATATATATATATATATATATATATATATATATATATATATATATATATATATATATATATATATATATATATATATATATATATATATATATATATATAAATATATATATATATACATATATATATATATATATATATATATATATATATATATATATATATATATATATATATATATATATATATATATATATATATATATATATATATCATTATTTAGCTCATCAATCCTCCAGCAAACAACCAATGGCTTCAAGAGTAATTATGAATTAGAAAAAATGTAAACTTTGATTATTGATTACAATTGTTAACTTAGTGATGAAAAAATAATAGAATCAAGATACACACAAGTAATTACTTTTATATGAAATTATATGAATATTATATAATTTCATATAAAATATATATTATATAATTTCATATGAAATATATATAAACAAATTATATTAAAAAAAAAAAGTTTTCTCTCTCTGCCATTGTAATATTTTAAATCCAATAATGTTAAATACTATCTTTTTAAAAACAACATTCAATGGATTACGGCCAAGAACCATTCAATGGATTATAGCCTAGCAACATTCAATGGATTATAGTCAAGCCTAACAAGATTTAATGAATTATAGTCAAGCCAAATAACATTTAATAGATTATAGCCAGGCAACCTTCAATGGGCTATTTTTAATGCCAAGCAACATGTGTATTAAAGTACATATAACATTGCTTGGAAAAGCAGTGTGGTTTTAAAAGCTCTTTTAGTTATCCAAAATAATAAAGGATCATTTTAAAGATGAATTAGCTTGAACATTTATGCCAGAGCTCATTTAACTTTGGAATTAAAATCCTTCTTTTTTGTAATCAAGTTTTTCACTAAAACTGGTATTCTGCAGTAAGAGTATTCAGAATAAAGACTTCTGGCTTAGTTGTTCAGAAAGTTTGATGGTATCTATTAAAAGGCTATTTATAGTTTATATTATTATTATTATTATTATTATTTAATATTGCTGTTGTGTCAATGTTGTCAAAATATCTTTTCTTTAAACTTTATTTGTATGTTGTATTTTTTATGATTTTGATTTAATGCTTGACAAAAATAATAAATACTTACAAAACAATTAATTTTCAACTATTAAATATTACATAATAAATAATTAAAAATAAAAACTATAATAGAAAAACACAAAAACTGTTTTAATCTACAACAAAACTTTAAAAAGAAAAAAAAAAGAAAAACTGTTCTTATCTACTTTGATGTTCTTAATTATTTCTAATATATTAAAATATATAATATAATTAATGTGATATAATTAATGTAATATAATTAAAAATATTGTTAAAAACCTGCTCGGCTTGAGGTTGGCACAACCACATCTTTCCATCATTTAATATAAATCTGAAAACAAAATGCAAAATATCTGAGAATGTAAGCAAAATATCTGAGAATGTAAGCAAAATCTGAAAACAATGCAAAACAATGCAAAATATCTGAGAATGTAGAGTATACAAAGTGGTATCCAAAAATACTTTGTTAGTAATAGTCATAAAATATCTGAGAATATAAAGTACACAAAGTACTTTATATTCTCAGTTTAAAAACGCTTTAGTCTTAAGAAGATGATAATGAATAAAATAATTTTTAAACAACAACAAAATATAGTTATTAAATGACACAGATATTGGAAAAAAGTAAAAACCTAAGAAAGTCAAGACGTTCTTGAATCTGGCGAACATGTGGATATCTTCTATCAGGTAAAAGCTCTTCAGGAATAATAGATGTATCATCTGCAAAAAATTTATAACCATATATACAAACTTAAATTATTTATAATATATTTATAACTGTAAAACCAAATATATTTATGACCATATATATAAAAAACTTTCATAACACTCCAATCAAACTTAATCATCAAATTTTTTCTTTAAAATAACACTCTTTAGGACAAACATTTCTTATTCCATTGCACATAAACAGTCTTACAAAAAAAAAAAAATTATATTTTGTAGTGTAAAATCCTTGTTTGGTAAAAAAAACTTGTTTTTTGCAAGACTTGAAAAAATAACTGTTGTAAAATTGTTATAAAAAAATTAAGAAAAATAATAACAAGAATAAGTGTATTGCATTTTATTTTGTAAAAACTAAAAATATGGTTATCTTTTACAATTATTTAAAATTTTATCACGACAAATATCCATATCATTGAAATTGTTTAGCTAGTATTTTACATTTGATTTTAGAAATGGTCTCAGGATTTTGTTTCTGCATTTTCTTTATTTGTTTAATATTGCTATATAGTATTTGATATTCTTATACATTATTTGATATTCTTGTATATTTCACTTTTTCAATTATCGTAATAATTTAGACCTTCCTATATTTATAAACGGCAATGTACTCGATGAGTCTCCTACCCTTCATCTTCTAGGATTAACTCTTACTTCTGATCTTTCTTGGAAACCTTATATCAAATTCGTTGCAAAATTAGCATCTGCTAAAGGTGCTTCTCTTTATCGAGCTCGTCACTTTCTTACTCTGGATTCTATTCTCTATCTCTATAAATCTCAAATCCGGTTTTGTATGGAATACTGTTGCCATATCTGGGGCGAATCTTCTAATGATGCCCTTTCTCTTTTAGACAAGGTGCAAAAACGCATTGTAAACATAGTTGGACCTGCTCTTGCAGCTAAACTTCAACCTCTGTCACATTGTCGTAATATTGCTTCTCTTTCTTTTTTCTACAAATACTATAATGGTCACTGCTCGAAAGAGCTAGCGCCTCTTGTGCGATCTACTAAAATTCATTCTCGTGTTACTCGTCATTCAATTAAGTCTCATCCTTTTTCTGTTACTGTTCCTAAGTGCTCCAAAAAATTTTATTCATCTAGTTTTTTTCCTCGAACATCAGTTCTTTGGAATTTGCTTCCTTCATCTTGCTTTCCTGATTCATACAATTTGCAATCTTTTAAGTCGTCTGTCAATTGTTATCTTGCACTACAATCTTCATCTTTTCTCTTCCAGTAACCTCCAACACTAATTAGTGGTTGCTTGCAGCCTTGTTGGAAGCAAAGATAATTAAAAAAAAAAAAAAAAATTTGTTTTTCCTTTTTTGACTGGTTTAAAAATCAACATACAACATATTTGAACATGAGAGAAAAAAGCATTGTGAATTATATGCACCATTTAAATGAAAGAACATTAATGTAAGTTGGATGATTGTCTAAGAGTATGAAAATAGGACATACAAAATTTTTGATTAATTTTGAATATAACTACTCTAAATACTATCTTTAAAAGAACATTGGTTTTGATATCCTGATTCGGTGTGTTTATAAATATCATATTTAGAAAAAAAAAATTTTGTTTGTTGGGATTTTTATTTCTGAATTATTTGCTATTATAGTGTGAATAGAAAATTGCAATTGACAATCCCAGAAGTATACGCAAGATCTTCGGAGTAAAATTTCCTTTCAAAATAACCTTTTCTCAAATAACATCAAACTACTTTGCACTTTTTTTTGAAAAAACTTTAGGCTCAAATAAAAACTTGTTTCATTAAGATTTACAAAAACTAGGATAAGAAACTAATTATTCTTCTGTAAAAAACTATTCCAAGATTTTTTTAAAAAACCAATTGTGGAGTACCTGAAGAATTGTGAAGTTTCTGCCATACCTTCTTTTAAAATTGTCAAAATCAAGTGATCTAACATACCATCCAACTAGTTTTTCATCATCAAATTTAGTTAACACATTTTAAGAATGATTAGCAGACAATAATGTTTTCTTTAGGTCTTAATGAATTAACTTAATAAATTCTTTTTTCATCTTTTCTTAAAACATCTTTTATTCTCAGATTAAATTCAGAATGTGTCTTGTTGGCATAGTAAAAGCATCTGGGCAATCAAGAACATAAATTGAACCTTTCTTTTCTAAAAAACTTTTAAAATCTCTTGATGCTATTAAGCTAATTGAACCATTGATGCTATTAAGAGATTCACGGAACTAAGAAACTTTATACTTATTTTAATTATACCCAATATTCAGTAATCCTGTAGTCAATTTTTGTTCATGGTTCAATATTTTTTTTTTTGAAGATGAAAAACATCATATTCAAAAAAAAAGAAATTATTAAACCATTAACAAAAATGAACTATGGGGGAAAATGCAGCTATTTTTAGTTTCCCGAATGTTTACATTATTGGACTTCTGCTCTTTTAACATTCACCGATTCATGTTTTTTTAACTTTCAAAAAAACCATTTTAACTTTTTAAAACCTTTAAAAATTTTACAGCAAGCAAACTTATAGGATCTTTTTAATCTTATTTTTTTCATATTTGTTTTTGTTTTTTAGTTTAATCTTTTCTGTTTTCTTTTATAAGCACTTTTGTTACCTATATTAGTATAAGACATATAATAATGATAATGATGTTAATGATCTTTTATAAACACTTTTGTTACCTATATTAGTATAAGACATATGATAATGATGATGATGTTGATGATCTTTTATAAGCACTTTTGTTACCTATATTAGTATAAGACATATGATAATGATCATCATTATCATATGTCTTATACTAATGTAGGTAACAAAAGTGCTTATAAAAGATCATCATGATCATCATCAACATCATAATCATTGATGATGATGTTGATGATGATCATGATGTTGATGATGATGACGATCATGATGATCATGATGTTGATGATGATGACGATCATGATGATTATGATGTTGACCATGATGATCATATTGTTGATGAAGTCAACGCACAAAATAAATAATAGAAGGTTGGCAGTCAATTTGACTGGCTAACAAATAGAATTGACGGTCAAGTGTTTTTATTAGCCAGTCAATTAAATTTTTTTTTTTTTCAGTGTTTTAATTTTTTAATGAAACTTACTGAACTTTATAAATAAAAAAAATACTTTAAGCTTACTTTTGAAATAATTTTAAATTAGTTTTCTAACTTAGTTTCTCCGCGCTTTAAACGTTTATGAGCTAATGTCATAATCACATAATAGTTTCTCCGCGTTTTAAACGTTTATGAGCTAATTTCATAATCACATAACATTGCGACCAGAATAATATGAAGCCTTTTCATAAGGTTTGCATCAACTTAGTTTCTCCGCGCAGCGGCCTTGCTTGTCAAGGTTCGTGTTTCGGAGTTAAAGAGTTGAGAGAGGGTTGTACCACGAAATACAACAAAAAAATAAAAAAAAAAACACACAAAAAAATGAGTAGCCTCCTCGACTGTAGTGGCCCCCTCGGGCCTTGGGGAGGTGAATAATGTAAAAAAAAAAAAAAAAAAAAATTAAATCATTGCCTTTAACAATTTATATAAATATAAAATAAAAAAACAATATATAAATATATATTTTTTATTTTTGTAATAATAATCTACTTATCAGTTTGAAATAATGTTAGTCTAAAATAGCTCACATGCGCTGATTAAAAAAGGAGGTTACATCATAACATCAAAAGGAGGTTGATAACATCGAAATATCTTATGATAGTTAATATTTTTGTACATTTACTTTTAACTAACTCATTTAAATTTTTTAGATAATATAAATTATATTATATAACTAAACTTTAACAACAATATTAACTAAACATAAAAAAATCTTATTTAAAAGTTTTTGTAATATATTACTTCCTAATATTTTACAAAGCACAAAGACATTCATAATTTTTAAATTTTATTACTAAGTACAAATGATCGTTTTTTTAAATAGAAACTTCTAAGTTCAACTCAAACTTTATTCAAGTTTGCATTCCACCCTTAATTAAGCTTGGAAGTTTATTTATTTATTTTTTTTTTAAATAATAATAATAATAATTGAAACTGAATAAATAATATTAGAAGACTATCATTTTATAAAATGTCACAATTAAAATTACTAATGCTAACTGTTTTCTTGATAACTCAATTGAAAAAATGTAATTAGTTTATTTAAATTGTTAAACAGGTTAATAATGTTAATTCATTGCAATGATTTCACATATAGTGACAAAATTTTAAGAGGATTTTTAAAAAGATTGAATAAAAAAAATTAATGAAAATATTAAACGAGAAACAAAAAAAGCTATTCAAAGAATATTTTTAATTAGCAAGAGAAAATAATAATAAAATTGATTGTTTATACAGAGTACAGAAGATCATTTTGTATTTTTTCTATTTTTGTTATTTTTTGCACTGTAACTAGAATTCTAGAACTTTAGAGGTTTCATTTGTTTTTTGTAAACTGTAAGTAGAAATAAAATTAAGTATGAGACTATTATGATTAGTTCTAGTTATTATTAGTTATAAGTATATTTATTAATAAATTCAAATTTTATAATAAATTGATAAATCCAACATCAGCTATAATTCAAAATTAAAATTTAGCATTATTTTTGTTGATTTTTTTTTTTTTTTGTTGATTGACTTTAGATTTTTTGTTTACCTTTATAAATGAAATAAAACATTTTAAAAAATTATTTTATATTAAATATATTTTTATTTTCAAATTTTTCATTATTTATATTTCTATCATTAATATATTTATTATTTATTATGGGTTACTTACTGCTAGTAACAACAAAAATATTGTTTAAAAATAAAAATTCACATTTATATACTCTAAATAGTTAAATAGCAAAATCAACAATTTATCAGCAGCCACATTCTCAATTGACAAAATGGACATTTTTTTCTAGATGGATTTTTGCATATAATTTTTAATAAACTAAAGTTACAAAAATGTTTTTTCCTAGTAAGTATGGTAAATGCTTCAGTAATAAATTCCAAACTTAAATTTTTGTATTAGTAAAAACTTTTCTAATTAAAATTTTGAAATTTTTTTCTTTTAGAACATCAAAGTCAAGAAAGTCCACCCTTGGTCCAAGGTGGTTTCTGAACAACCCTTCAAACCAAGATATACTGTATAAATTGTTTTACCAAAGAATAATAAAGATAAATTGCTATACAGAAGAAAAAAGTATAAAAACATACTTTGATAAAGATTACGTATTTTAGACATATACTTCGTAAGATTTTCAGCAACTAGACTAACAATAGCATGTTTATTTTGAATACTCTCCACAACTGTATTGCGATATAATATGTGGTGATTTGATACCTGATTGCCATTCTAAATTTATAAAAGTATTTTGTATATTCTTTATGTATTCATAAAAAATAATTTGGTAAAAACTAAAAAAGAAAATTCAAATAATTCAGTAGCAATTTAAGTAATTAACAGAAAACAACACTCTTTTAGTTTCCAGTTTTACAAACATTTAGCATGATGTCAGACTTCTTTTATAAATATGCAAAATAAGTTAAATATTATACATACATAAATACATACATACATACATACATACATACATACATACATACATACATACATACATACATACATACATACATACATACATACATATATACATACATACAAACTTATATTGTGTGTTGATGAATAGTCTGGCATCATACTGAAATAGCCTGCTGCCAGGGGCTTCAGTACATACATGAACTATTGTTATATTGGTATATATTGCAGTAGAACATGCAAAGAGTGCCAATATATCGACTAAGGGTTAGAGTTAGGACAGAAACTTTTTTTTATTATTATTTGTTTTCTTTTTCTAAAATAAAAAACTGTACAGATTTAGGTTAGCTTTTTTGCTTACCAAATGCTGATTTAAATATGCAAAAAAAAGTGTGTATATACATATATATTAGGTCTACCAGAAAGTTCTGTCCGAATCTATGACATCATTTTCGCCACATAAGCACATGTTTATTTATTGCATCTTTGGCTCTATATTTTTATTGCTTAATGTATACGTACTGACGTAGCAAATAAACTATAATAAAGTTGATTCACATTAGTCTTAAGTGTGAAACGATAGTATATCCATGGCGACTGGTAAAGTTCATTTACGCCACTGTATTTTATACGAATTTCAACAAGGAAGAGAACACTTTCAATAAATTTTTACATGCTACAGAAGCATGTAAAAATTTATTGAAAGTGTTTGGTGAAGGTACAGTTTCTGATAGGACATGCAGAAGATGGTACGAAAAATTTGAAACAGGTGATTTCGACCTTTCTGATAAGCCACGTTCTGGGCGACCATCTTTGATCGACGATGATGTTGTTAAGGCAATGTTGGAGCAAGATCCTTTTTTGACAACATCGGAGATCGCAGAAAGGCTTAATTCAGCTCAGCAAACCATTTCTGACCATATTCGGAAGATGGGATTAGTGTGGAAGTATTCAAGATGGGTGCCACATGAATTAAGTCAGAAAAATTTGGATGATCGAGTTGTCATGTGCACATCTCTGCTCAGAACAAAATCGAGCCCTTTTTGAAGCGGGTGATAACTGGGGATGAAAAGTGGATTACATACAACAACATTATAAGGAAAAGGGTTTATTGTAAACCCGGAAAACCTAGCCCTTCCACCTCTAAACTAAATTTGTCTCTGAATAAGAGAATGTTGTGTATATGGTGGGACATTCAAGGACCAATACATTATGAGCTTTTAAAACCAAACTAAAAGCTTAATTTGGAGAAGTATTGCAAGCAACTGGATAATTTAGAGACAGCAGTCCAAAAAAATAGGCCAGCAATGTTCAATAGGAAGGACATCATACTGCACCACGATAACACCAGACCACACGCTGCTTTAGGGACTCGTCAAAAAATTGCAGAATTAGGCTGGGAAATTCTGTCACACCCACCATATTCTCCGGACAGAGCACCCTCTGATTATTATTTGTTTTTGTCCTTACAAAATTTTTTGACGAGCAAAAAATTCAAAAATGGAGAAGATGTCAAACAAATACTGGTTCAATTTTTCGCATCAAAAGATGAAACATTTTTCAGAGATGGGATGTACAAATTGCCCTCACGCTGGCAAGAGGTCATTAAAAATCATGGCAATTATATTATTCAATAAAGTTAATTGGCAGTAAGAAAAATTTGTATTTTGTTTGATTCCAAAAACTGACAGAATTTTCTGATAGACCTAATATATATATATATATATATATATATATATATATATATATAAACACACACACACACATATATATATATATATATATATATATATATATATATATATATATATATATATATATATACATACATATATATATCCTTACTTTTGCATATTTAGATATATAAAGGTGTTTGAATATGTTGATTGCACAAAAAATATCACTCAAAACATCATAATAAAAACCATATGTGGTAAATACATAAACTTAGGATTTGGGTTGGGGCAGCTTATATCTACATATAAAGGACATTTATTCAGAAAAAAAACTTTATTATTTTAATTATATTTTAGTCTAAAAATATGTCGGATTAAAGTCACCATTTGAAATTGATATATTACTATTTACTTATATATTACTCTATATATGTATATATATATATATATATATATATATATATATATATATATATATATATATATATATATATATATATATATATATTTGTATGTTAGTTGATTTAACACAATAAAAAAATGAATTAAAATGTTTGTGGTTTGTTTTTGTTTTTTAATTACTCAAAAAAAAGAGAAAGTCTTACCTCATAAAATAATTCACAAATAGCCCGAATCTGCTTTAAGGCTGGAATGACCCAAGAACCTACTTTTATTTCTTCCACACACAAGTCAATCCAATGTATCTTTAAATTATCTCGATCTTGAGTTTGAGAACAACTATAATCAAGAATTTTTATGTGAGCATTCAGAGCTTGGTCCATTATATCAGTAGGCAAATCATCACTATGCGCAAGTTGCCATAACAAATTAAGAACCTTATCAAAAAAATAAAATTAAAAATCATATTTAAACATGAGAAATAAAAACTTTTTTAAAAATCATTAATAACATACTTTAATATATTTATCTTTTCAAGTCTTTTAATCTTAAAAAACTTTGTTAAGCTTTAATAGCAATAAATGAGTTAGAAATATCAATAATCATTGATCTTTCTAACTCATTTTAAAGCCAAAATAAAATTTTAATGGTAATATCATTGATTGTCCCAGGGCTGTGGAGTCGGAGTCAGAGTTGCAAAATTTTTAGCAGAGTCGGAGTCGCTAAACAAAATGACTCTGACTCCAAAGTAAAACTTCTCGGTATTGCACGTGTATGTATAAAACATTCAATTAACCTTATATTTATACTAAACATCAAAGAACGCTTCATAAATTTGTCAAAAAACTTTTTTTTATTTTATCGCATAATATTTTTTAAAGAATTCAAAGTATTTTTTCAAAAATTTTGTTTTGGAGTTGGAGTCGGAGTTGGAGTTGTACTCAAAAAATTTTAACAACTGGAGTCGGACTCGTTACTTTTTTTTTATAACTCCACACCCCTGGATTTTCCTAGTTCATTTTTAAGCCAAAATAAAATTTTAATAGTAATATTATATTTTATATCAATTAATTTAATTGAAATAAAATGTTAAAAATAAATTAAATTAGTGTTAAAAACAAAAACATTGTTTCTTTTTAGTCATCTTCATTTTGTATTAAACTCTCTCTTTGTCTTCTTGATAAATTAATAGAAAAAATGCACTAATGATAATTATATTTTATTTTTTAAATGATCATTTATTGCAATGACTTTTTTAAAAATGTTTGTTCATTGCAATGACTTTTTTTAAAATATTCGTTCATTGCAATGACTTTTTTAAAAATGTTTGTTCATTGCAATGACTTTTTAAAAAGATTTAATAAAAAAAAAAATTATAAAAAAATTGAAAAATAAAATAAAAAAACAGTTCAAAGAAGAAATTATTTAATCAACTACAGAAATTAATAATAAAACAATAACTTTACTCAAGTATATATACTGTGAAGTGAAACTAAAGATAAAAAAAAAAGGTTAAAAAAAAGAAGATATAGCTTACGTCATTTATAATAATGCATTAATAAATGCATCAACAAACTTTAGACACTAAATATTTTAATCCAGATTTTAAGAAGTTTTAGTATTTTTAAAACATATCAGTGCTCTAAAGTTAGTTTAGACATGTTTATTTTCATAAACATTGTCATCAATCTTCAGTCTTCCTTTTATATGCTGTTTCTCTAACATAAACAATCTCCAGCATTTTCTTTCCTCAACTAAAGTACATTCAAACCATAACTTAATCTCTTTTACCAAAGCTCCTGAATCCAGCAGGTATGAAAGCTTTTTAATTGTTCTTGCTAATTTTAATTTAGGCCTCATTCTATTCCAGGTTTTTCACATTCTTGTGCAGTTGCTATATATTGAAATACAATCAATTTTTTTTCTTTTTTACAAGAATATCTCTCTTATAAACAAATATATTTTTATTACTGCAAGAATCTAAAAAGGTCCTGTCTAATGCTAAGATCTGTTACTCTCAATTCACTAAATCTCGTATCTTATCTCAGAAGTTGGGCTTTAGAGACTTTTGGAAAATCTTTAACAGTGTCACTAACAAAGGAAGGTCTAACAGTCCATCTCTCATTCATAGGACTGATCTTATTACCTTTTCCAAGGATAAGACAGCGCTATTTGCGTAGAACTTGTTCTCTAATTCCACTATTGAATTCAACTGCCTTACTTATCTTGCCACTCCAGTTAATCAGGTCAAATCATTGATAGTTATCCAAATCACTAGATTTCTGTTGTCAATTCTTAATTGATCATAGTTTAATGGAAGTGTTCTTCGCTAAACTATTAATTAGTGTTAAATAATTGGTTCCAGTTTTCAAATCTCTAGAAAACACTCTAACCTCTCTAACTATTTGAAAATTGGTCTTCTTTCTATTACACATCAAAACCTTAAAACTCTAACACATTTTCCTGATTTTCATTTTTTTTTTGTTGATATTTTCATACAACCTACACTTTTTTAAGTTGTCAGTTAACTTTGCTCTAATCCTACCCTTTGTTTTCTAGTAACTAATAACTTAATAATGGTTGTTTGTGACCTTTTCGGAAGTGAATTAGTTTGTTTATACATTTATATATATATATATATATATATATATATATATATATATATATATATATATATATATATATATATATATATATATGCCAGTATTTAATAACTTGTAAATACTTGCATAAATTTATAAATACATAAAGTATTATAAACTTTTTCCTAGCCCAGGCTACCAAACCCTGCTAACTCTTATAATTTCGCCAGGGATGGATTTGTGAAAAATACCATTTTTAGCTAGGGCAGGAACTCCTATCACTTATTACTGCTAGCCACCAGAAGTAAAAAAAATTCAATTACTAAATAAATAAAAAAAAATACTTTGTGAGCAATCACTCCTTCTTTGTCATCTTCAGCAAGTCTTCTGATCAGTTCAAGCAACTTTTCTTGTTGTTTTTTATTAGCTGAATTCCAACCAGCCTTGTTATATCAAAAACAATATAAAATTTTGTAAAAAATTTTTTTTTTCTTATAATAAAAAAAAAAAAAAAAAAATAAAAAAAAAATAAAAAAAAAAAACGAATTTATATTAAACAAGCAAAGATATTTTAGAAAAATTTATAAACTAATTACCTGGAACCTCGAAAATAAATGATCAAGTTGTTCTGCAGAAAAATCCCAAGCAAGTTTTGCTAACAAGTCGTGGACATTTTTAACGATAGCTTCATGTTTACCTAATTGTGCCATCCATATTGTATCTAGATCTTTAACAGTCAGCGTTTTCGATTTTATAGTGAAACGTATGATTTTTTCCAATTTTTCCACATACTGAGGTTGGTGAAGATTATCTTTTAAGACTATAACTAAAACATTATTTTCTTGCAACCACTTTGCTACCATATCATTTGTGAGGTATTCATCTTCTTCATAATTGTTGTGTCTATGATTACTGTAGTAGGAGACACTGCTTATAACACGATTTATTTCATTCAACGCATTCATTTTCCCATTAAATGGCGAAACTTGGAGTAATCTATTAGAAAAATGACATTTAAAAATATTTAAAAACAATAACTATAACAATATATAAAAACAATAACAATAACAAAAACAATATATATATATATATATATATATATATATATATATATATATATATATATATATATATATTTAGTTCAGAACAATTTACTTTCTGTTTCATTATCAAATCAGAGCAAACTATTATTTCTATATATTTTTATAACTTCTATTAGCAAACAGATTGCTATTAGATCAAACACAAAAAAAATAATTTATCAGATTTTTTATAGAGATTCCTGTTGATCAATATTTACAAGTGACATCAATATTTATCAGTAATCAACAATTAGAGATGTTTAAACAAGGAATGCATTGCAATTCAAATATTATCAAAACAAATATAATGAAAATATTTCCAAGTTTTACCTTAAAACAGGAAAACTTCAAGTGTTAAAGAAATCAGGCATTTTGATAATGTTAGGTGCACAACCTTATTTGACATTAAATGGAAATTATGCTATTGAGTGTACTTGATGCAAATACATTTGAAATGATAAAATATATGCTACATATATAATAACTAAAAAGCAGTAAAATTGACAAACAGTGGACCAAATTAGATGATATAAGCAGGTGACTTTGTACAGACTAAAAAAAACTGCAAAAACCAGATCCAGTAAATTGATACTATAGAGAGGTTGTACTAAATGATTTCAAAAAAGTAAAAAACTATTTTACATAAAAAAAAAAAAAATGAATAAAAGCTATTATTCTTTGAAGTTTTTTGAGTTTTTTTTTTCAACTCTACAATTCTATAAGAAGAACCTTGAGGAAGAAGGCTGTGCAGAGAAACAAGCACAATACTATCAGGGACAAGGTTGGAGTTTTCACTTATGATGAGTGGACTCTAACACTATATTACTACAAAAACTTTGTCTTTTAAAACATTTGTGTTTTATTTATTTTTCAATATACTATTTTAATAATTAAATCTCATTAAAAAAAATAAGAAATGGGTAATATAAATTTCCTATCATAAGCTGGTACCTGGAAAGTGCTTTTTATTTTTAAAAAATTTAGATGGATTTTATTGCTTTATAAGCTCATGCATCTGTTTTCTATCAACTAATACCCTCCATTCACTTTCTATTAACTAATACCCTCCATTCATTTTCTATTAACTAATACCCTTCATTCATTTTCTATTAACTAATACCCTCCATTCATTTTTAGCTAACTTGGTTTCTGCTGCACAAATTTCTGCATATTTAAGGAAATTCAAGAAATTAAAGCAAATGGTTTATGCCTATATATTTTTTTATGAGAGACTCTGTCAAGAGTTAAATATCAAAAAAGTAAATTATCACAAGTATTTTGAAGAGAGTTTTTAAAATTGGTTTCAAGGAAATCAACAACTTGCTTTCAGTAGTAAATGAAAGTACTGATTCAGTATGAGTTTTTCAGAGTTTTTATTATAAAAAAAAGTTTCACCTTGCCATTTTTACTAAAAGTTTGAAGAAAAAAAAAATTTTAATTTAAAAATTTGAAAAATAGTGACATTGAAGTGGGTAGATGTATTTCATTTTAAGATATAAACTCTTACTAATTGTAACTATTAAATATTCTTTGAATAATTCTTTATTTTATTTTGAACATTTTTATTTTAATTATGAAAATGAATTACCTAAGAATCATTAATAGGCGTAGCTCCTCAAATTGCTTACATAGCTCCTCTTGACCAGGTAAACAACTAACAATCAATTTCATACTCTAAAAAAAATTTAATGAGAAATTTAAAAAATAAAATAGTAAGTATATATATCAATTCATTATTGTCCATCCCATAAATTTTTTTCGACAACCAATTTTTATGCAGAGTGGCTAATGAGTGGTGTAGAGGTCATATTTATATAAAAAAAAAAATTTATTTTTTATTTTTTCTTGATAGAAGTATTCACGCAGATTGTTTGAAGTTACGCTTTTTGTGATTTTTGACTAAATTTAGATTAAATTTCCTTGAAAGATTGAGTGAGGATTTTCGATCTTTATTTGTAAACTAAGCTAGATCAAAACATATCAATGTGATTCAAATATATATATATATATATATATATATATATATATATATATATATATATATATATATATATATATATATATATATATATATATATATATATATATATATATATATATATATATATATATATATATATATATATATATATATATATATATATATCATAGATCATCCAGGTCATATTTTAAAAATCTGGAAAATCATTAGGGTAAAATATCCTGAAGAAATCCTTAATATATTTTCCCTTATATTCCTCTTAATTTTGCTTTTAGCTGAGTTGTTTTTAATTTTTTTTTTAACTTTACTTGATTTTTGTATAAATAATGAGTGAAAAAGCTTAAAAAACAAATATATTGAAAAATATATACCTTAACTTGTATGTATAGAAAACATTTTTGATATCCGCAAAAGCTAAAAGTTGAGAAAAATATCCGGAATTCCGGAAATATCCGGAAAAAGATATTCCCTGATATATACACATTTTTTCTGTGGTTATTTTAGGAGTTCCATGAAGACCTAATTGTCGCATTACAGAGAACAGCAAAGGAGCATTTAACTTTACACTTCCTTTATGTCAAAAAAATACCTAAAGTAGACATTGAACCACAGATCAGTAAAGGATCCAACATATTTTGGTGTTAGAGATAGCTAACTGACATGGCTAAAATTCAAAACATTTGTATGTTTATACTTATGTCAAACAATGATGTTTTGCAAAATATTACAATGATTGGAGGCTGGAAACTAAAAAAGCCCTAAAATTTTATCTCAATGCCCCAAATATGAGAGCAACAAGTTGGTAAAATAATTTTTTCGAAATTCTTAACTTTGTTTATATTCATTGAAAATTTTAAGTTTCATAGTAATATCTCTTGGAGTTCATAAATTATAACCATATAAATTTTAACCCCCCCCCCCTCAACTTGAGGGGGTTATAAATTTTTTATAGTCAATTTTTGAATGCTTAGAGATTGTAAAACAATACTTAAAATTTATCTCAAACACCAAAAAATGCTGGATCCGTCACTGCCATTGTTCTCTTGCTTCTGAAGCAAGTTCAAAATTCGTTCAAATGCTGCAAATGTACAATAAATGTTTATATACAAATAAATTTTTAGCTTAAGACAAATATCTCAAGAAAATATGTAAAAAAAAAAAAAATATTTAAATGTAGTTTTAAGGTTCAGAGTTTGCAGTTAGATATCTGATCAAAATTTAATTTATTAGAACCATTCAATAATGAAAAAAAGAAGAAGCAGTCACTGTAGCTAGCTCCTTGAATCCACTCTTCTTTTTTTAATGTTTTTTTACAAGAACTCTTTATTTGAAGTAGCTTCTGAAGCTTCTCCAAGCTCATCACACGCTCTACATTATCTTGAATAAACTGTAAGTTATTGTGCTTTTATTGTTATTAATGATCTAATTACTAATAACCCGTATTACGGGTTGCTTACTGTTAGTATATATAAATGCAGCAACAGATGCATGCGGATAAAGTCATAAAAAAATAAGAAGTTGCATGGGCTTCAGTACATACATTGACTGAAAAATAGCCTGGCTCGCAATAGAGTACAGCTACATCAACTGAGGGAATCTTCTATAGCCTATTTAGATAAGCATTTGCTCACTAGTTTTACTTATCTTTATAACAAAAAACTCTTTTTAGGAAAAGAAGAAAAAAACAAAGAATAGTGAAAGAAAAGATTGCTGCCCCGTGTAGATTGCTGCCCCCTTAGTGGATGTAGAAGCACTCTGCTGTGAGTCAGGCTATTTGTCAGTCAATAAATGTGCTGAAGCCTCCCGCAACAGGTTATTTCAGTGTGACGTCAGAGTGCACTTCTAAACAAGCAATTTAAACTATATATATATACATATATATATATATATATATATATATATATATATATATATATATATATATATATATATATATATATATATATATATATATATATATATATATATATATATATATATATATATATATATATATATATATATATTAGGGTGTCTCAGAAAAAAAAGTTTTTTGAATTCAACATCGTCAATCCTTTTTATTTGGTCCCAGTAAGCCACCGTAAAAGTCTGAGCTTAAAAGTGTTTAGCTGAAGGTGTTAGAAAAAAATTACGTATAAATTTAAATGAGTTTTTTCTTGAACTTATTGATTGAAACTCCGATAGTATTCAATATTTTCATAAAACAATCAAATAAACATAAAGTTTATCACCCAATACAGTAATTCAGACTAATATACTTACTGCAAATTTTAAAAAAATTCATAATTATTTTGTTCTTTATTTTAATTTTATTGTTTTAAAATGTTTTTAAAAATAAAATACAACAGAATACAAAAAAAGTTAGGTGGTGCAAGAATTATTAAACTTTTGTTGGAAAATATATATTTTTAAAAACAAAAATATTAAGTGCTTTTTTTTATCTGAATATTCTTTAAGTCTTGTTTAGAGGCACATTAGACACATTCCGCCAGTTTGTATAAAACTACCATAATGTCTTGAAGCCTGTCTTTGGAATGTGTCCTGCCAACTAATTCCTGCACCAATTTGATGTGTCTTTCAGCCCTGTCATTAAAAACTGTTAAAATTGACATACTATTGACTGCTAATTGAACTGGACACTCTTGAAAGATTAATTTTTAAGATTTTTCTCCAAATTTGACATGCCTTCTTTTTTTCATGAGAGAATATCATCTTTGATTATACCAAGATGGAGCAAAAAGAGACAAGACTCCTGAGAAAATCTGATAACTTTGAGAGGTGACAGACCTGTGTAAAAGATTTTGGTTGTTCTTTGCCAAAGTTTTTTATCTCTGTAACATTTTAACAATTCCACAAGAATATCCATCCTTTCTGTCTCCTTTAAACGCTGGTCAGCTAAGGCAAAGATAACACGCTGTGATGCAAATTACCAAGTGTGTCAGTGAATATTAAGATTAAGAACTTTGCCAATCTTTCCGTATTTCTTGGAGTAAAGTGGACCTATCATGATCTGCGATAAAATTTTGAATGCTCTAAGACCATTGAATGGTCTGAGTGGCCTGAGATGGTCTGATGGCCTGAGCTGCCATTGGGCTTTTTAGGAAGAATAAACAGTGAAAGATCACTATATAATCTGTTGCATCCTGTATCATCTAATTCTCATTGACACTGAGTTGCTTTTTGTAATTCTTGGTCATTTACATTGCTAACAGATACAATGAATCAGCCATAAATCTTACTTCATGATGTGCAACAGGTTGTAGAAACCTGAAGTTCAACAAATCTGCTCCAAGGTAAAAAGCTACCAGTTGACATAAATACTTGTAATCACTTCTGTTAAAAAAGAGCTGTTGTGCAGAACTGCATTGTTTCATTTGTAAGATTGTAAAATAGGGTTCCAAGAACAAACTCAAGTCTGTTCCAATCAAATTTCTAAATGTTGGCCAGTGTATTCACACCTTTTTCAATCTTAGGCCAAAAATAGTAACTATATATATATATATATATATATAATATATATATATATATATATATATATATATATATATATATATATATATATATATATATATATATATATATATATATATATACATATATATATATATATATATATATATATATTATATATATATATATATATATATATATATATATATATATTCTTGCATGGTAGTCACAAAGTTTTTCCCATAAATTGTTGTTTAAAAGAGCGCGTTAATAAGTCTGACCAGAAAATGTTAAAAAAATTTTTTTTTAAATGATCGACTGCTTGCCTAAACCAAACCCTCAGTCGATGTAGCAGCACTCCCTTGCGAGTCAGGCTATTTGTCAGTCGATGTAGCAGCACTCCGTTGCAAGTCAGGCTATAAGATAGTTGATGTAGCAACACTCCCTTGAAGTAGCAGGCTATAAGATAGTCGATGTAGCAACACTTACGCATGTTTTAAAAATGTTTTTTAATAAAACAAAAACACCACTAATTAAAAAAAACTTTCTAGTCATTATTATTGCGGTTTTTTTAAAAAACAATAAAATTTAATGTACTTCCGCATTAATTTAATTGCTTTGACATTTTGACGACAATAAAATGCAGCTTAAGAGACAAGGTAAAAAAATTGTGGTCGAAAGAGACTTTTTTTACCATAAAAATTTCTTTCGACTACACTATAAGGATATATATATATATATATATATATATATATATATATATATATATATATATATATATATATATATATATATATATATATATTTGTGTGTGTGAGAGAGAGTAAACACCAAAAAATAACACAAAAATTTTGAAATTAACATAACAATAGTAACAAACTATAAAATATCAAAATTTTACCTTGATAATGACAGAAATAGCTTCATTTTTTGCTTCATTTTTTGATTCTTTTTTTAAAATTTCATCTGTTATTGAATCTAAGAAGTTTTTAATGCTTTTCTAAAATAAAAAAAAAATTATAATAATAAAAAAAATTTTATTAAATAAAATTTGAACAGAGGAAAAATAAATTCTCATTATACTTTTATAAAAATTTTAAAGTATTCGGGCCTACTTTTGGAAAAAAATCAGTGGTTTTTCGCAAAAATAACAATATTTGCCGTAAAAAACATAAAAAAAAAGGTCCTTCAATTTTATTTGGGCGGCACCCAAAATTATCGTCAATGCTGTTCATACGGTCTAGAATAGCCCCTGGTATTATAAAACAACAAAATCTCTACTTACAACAACAGGTAATAAAAATTGTTCCACAGTGTGTTCAGTTAAAACTTCAGCACATAAACCAAATGGTCTAAATTTAGAAAAATATTACTACATAATTTCAATATTTGAAAATTTAAAGAAATACTACTTTAAATCATGCCTAAATATTTTGCTTTTTAGTCACAATGAAAAATAAAAAAACTACTTGAAAAGTATAAAACTTAAAAGTCATGCCTGAAAATGCCTGAAAATTGCTACATGGAGTTTATAAAGCAAAACTTTATAACTAATAAAAAAATCAACATAGTATTTAATATAACTAATAAAAATCAAATAATTTATATAATTATCTTTATTGAGGCAAAGTAATTATTATGACTTGACCACTCAAAATGAATTTTTCGATTTTTGAGTTAGAAGTACCAGACTACCAGGATAGCTGTCAGTTAGAGTTGACCTATTTTTGTCTAAATTTGCAATCATAGAACCAATTGAAGATAAACATTGACTAAATATTTAGGTCTTAGCAAGCAAAATCTACATAAGAACTCTTATCACTTATCATAAGAAGAACTCACAATAAAAAATGAACAGAAATAAAAGTAATACTTGATTAAAGCACAAACAATTTGAGCATTAAGACCACCCATGTCACAGATTCTGTGTTGAAGTTTGTGAAAACCTCCTAAGTCACCAAACTGATTTACCAAGTCCACTAACCAACCCTAAATAAAAAAATCTATATAAATAACTGTTAGAAAATTACTGCTGGTAAATTATTTCCTATCTCAAAAAATTTACAAATATTTGTGAAAAAATGTTAAATTTGTCAAATTTCCTTCATTCAAATGCCAATGTTTGTTTAAAAATTTTTTAAATATAATTAATGAATAAAAAATATTAAATTTTACTGCTCTTATAATGTTTCATAATACAAATATTATGAAACTAAAATATGCTATAATCATATATATATATAATATATTTTTTTTTATCAGTTTTAGCACTTTATTTTCTTTATTCTTTTCTTATACTTTATTATTAATATGAACGTTATGCAACTTTTCATGAAACTGATGATAAAGTTGAAACAACTAATTTTATCAAATAAAAAGATCATGCTGCTGCTAAGTAAATTAAATCAATTTAGCAAATGGTTTTGAACAAATATAGGCCATTAAATAAATCTGGTTTGTTATATGACACAAATAATGGCATATATATATATATATATATATATATATATATATATATATATATATATATATATATATATATATATATATATATATATATATATACATTTAACAATTTAAATGCAATAAAAAAATCATTACAAATAACTTTTAATTGTTGATCTTTTCTAAAGTTTTTATTTTGCGCAAAAGGTTTAAATAAAATACAAAATTAATTCTAACAATTGTTTAAAATAAACGCATTTTTGTAAAACAAAAAATTACTATTTTCAAAAGACTACGTTTATTTTTTTAAATAGTTTTGCAACTTTTTTGAAAAAATGTTTATACAATTTAAATATATATTTTTTTCTTCTTAATAATTTAAATAAAATTAGTTTATTTATTAAACAAGCACTAGAAGTAATTTGTAAATTAAATCAAAGTTTTCAGTCATTGAATTATACAGTTCCTAAACTAACTTTGCACAAAAAATGCTAATAATAGCTAAGATCTTTAATAAATGCAATTAAAGCTGGATAATCAATATTCTTGGTTTTGCTGGTGTAAATATTCAAAGCTTGCAGCAGGTTATCTTTGCACTATGATATTTGCTAATGGTTCTTAATTAGAGCTTTCTCAATAAATACTAAATAAATAAAGACAAGCTTTTCAAAAAAATATTTTGTTGAGCTTGTGCATGTTTAAACAGCAACAGAATATTTTTCATGAACAAATCATTTATTACAAAAATAAACTTAACTTATTTAATAATTTTATAATCTTTTACATAACTTTAAACAAAACCATTTTTTATTTATAATTAAACTTTTTATTCCCATCTTCCACACGGATATAAATATAAAATAGAAATAAATTTTATTAAAATTTTTTATTTATGCAGTAGCGTGCAAAAGTTTAGAAACACCAACTATTTCTTGGTTTTTACTGCATAAATTTTCACAAATTTTCTCAAATAAGCTGAAATTTTCACCAAATGTGCTCTATTTTATTTCAATTGAAAATACAAACCACAAAAGTTGTAAAATTTAAAGGTTAATTAAAACTTAATTGCTTTTTTTTAAAAGCTTTAAACAGTATCATACCCCACAATTAAATTATGCTTTTGTAAACAAAAATCAAAATTAAAGACCAAAATCTTTGTGAAATTTTATAATTTAATTACTTTAAGATATTTCAAAGGTAGTGAAGTATAACTAATTGCCAAAATATTTGTAAAATTTTATAATTCAATTACTTAGTGATATTTTAAAAGCATGGAATAGGCTAAGGAAGTTTCAAAGGAAATAAAGGAATTAATTATACAAGCTGTGAGAAAACAAAGACTTACAGGTAGATTTTTGAACTTTACAATGTTTCTAAACCAGGAATAAGTCATATTATGAAAAGATTTTGTCTACACAAAACTATTGAAAGCAAACATTGCTCTGGAAGATCTAAAGTTTCAACTGAAAAGAATGATAGATTATTAGTAAGGTATTCCAAGAGTAATCCTCGCAAGACTGCTGTCGAAATTAATTCATTTATGCATCAGTTTCATGGCACAAACTGTAACGTCGATACAACTAAACCTTGATTATGACAAAATAATCTGTATGGCCATCGCCCAGTTAAGAACCGCTGATATTTGTAAGAAATTTAAAAACCAGAATAAAATTCGCAAAAGATCATATTAGTTGGTCAGATAATGACTGATCAAAAGCCTTTTTTTCTGATGATCAAAGTTTATGCTATTCAATAGTGATGGAATCAGGTATGTCCGATGCCCAATAGGAGACAGATTTAATCCAAAATATCAGTTAATGTTAAACATGGAGGAGGAGACATTATGGTTTGGAGGTGTTTTAATCATGACAATGTGGGTCCCATTCATTACATAAAAGGTATTATGGACTAACATTTTATGCAAAGCGTAAAATGACTCGCAAATGGATTTTGAGACTAGATAATGATCCAAAACATTGTGCCAGATCTGTTAAACAATTTTAAATTACAAAAACTCAAAGTTCTTGAATGGCCTTCACAGAGCCAAGATCTCAATCCTATTGAGCATCTTTAGAAATAGAACGATTTTATATATTTTTTTTATAAATATGTGGGTTTGAACTCACATTTAAAAATTTTTATGACTATAACTGATCATTTGTTTTTCACAATTATTTGAAAAAAACTTTTTTTTTTTTTGCTTCGTTTAAAAACTAACATTATATGGAATAGAAGTTAACTAAAACTTTTTTTCTAGTTGGATTTTCAACTACTTATATTAAAAATTTTATTATATTTTATTAACAAACAATTTACCTTAGGTTGGCGACAGTCATTACATCGTGCAAACCATCCATGACTCTTAAAAATAAAAACAGTAAAATAATAAAAGCTAGAAAAATTAATGTAAAAAATTATTTTTTTCTTATTAAATTAAAATTGCAAAAGGATTAGGAATTAATAATAAAGTATGCATTATATATATATATATATATATATATATATATATATATATATATATATATATATATATATATATATATATATATATATATATATATATATATATATATATATACATATATATATATATATATATATATATATATATATATATATATATAATACATATTTATAAATATATATTATAAAGACCTTTGCCTTTATTTAAGTTATTTCTAACAAACTTAATCATTTTCTGATTATGTACACATAACTAATATGTACATATAGTTATTATGTACACATAACTACTATGTACACATAATTTATTGTAAAAAATATCTACTTCCTTTAGAATGTGGTTTTTCAAATAATGATTACTTTCTTCGGTAACTTGCAAATGCTGATTTTATCTATTCTTTCAAACTTAAATACTATGGCAACTTCATCAGCAGAAATATCATCTTTCTCAACTTTTTTTTTGTTGTTATTATGTTATAAAAAACTTTAAATTGACTGGGAACAATAAATAGTACTATTTTGTTATTAAAAAAGTCAAATATCACTTTCAAACAATTTTCTATGCTTAAAAAGTATGATCTTAGTGGCTGATATAAAGCACTCTTTTATATGCTGGAATTTTTAATGTTCTACGCCAGCCTTCATGCAGAAAATTTTTTAATTAGATACACGAACAGTGAAATGGTAATAAAATAAATAAAAATAAATAAAATGATAATAAAATAAGTAAATTTGAGGAAGAGTTATATTCATATTTATTGACAAACAAACAGTGTTTAATGCATTTTATAAAATGTGGGCATTGCAACTGATGCCTACAATTTAATGGTTTAGCTTGACAATTATTGCTGTTAACTTGATGATTATTGTTATTATTGTTTCAACTTAAACTTCCAAAATTTGTATTGATATGGTCTGCAGAAAAAGCCAAAACTTTTGAAAAAATTTTGTTAGCACTAATGCATTTAAAGATAACTTATTATAAAATATCTGATGTCTTTTCATTTACACAATTCATGTTTATCAACTAAATTTGCATTCCTTTTTTAACATCAGAATAATGAGCCAAAATTGGATAAAGTTTAACGCCCTTGTGATTTGAAGCATCAGAAAGAATGGACACATATGATGCTTTTAATAAAGTGTTTTCTGAGTTAGTTTTACAAAATTTCTTGAACACATTTACGATTGTTTCACATTTCATACGCAAATCATTTTACGAAATATTATAAAATGAAATAGATTATAAAATTTTTTAATTAGTTTTGATGTACAATCAGCACTTATAAAACTATGGTTGTGTTTGATTGTGTGAAATCTAATTGTTCCTTCTTGAATGGCTAATACTTATTCAACTTGACCTAAACTCTGAATCTTCATCAATTTTGTTATTTTGTTTGACAATATAGAAGCATCCAAAACCATTTTGTGTTTGATAGACATATAACACTCTTCAATTGTAGACCGTATATACAATATAATAGTATATATGAGGAGCTCATCTTGCGTTATGAAAAGAAACATTTTCTTTAAATTATCAGTAAATGTGTTTAAAATTATGTGCTTAATCTTCTCTTCTTATTACTCATTTTATGGATGTTTCTGATAAATATATAGCTATTATTATTAGCTTTTGTTGCTAAAAGCTTTAATTACCTTTTTATTATTATCTTATTAAAATAAGACGCGAAACATTTTTACAATAATCAGCAGGAAAAGACATGACAATGCAAACAAAATTTTCAAAAACAAAATTTTTTATCTTCTCTAGGAATTTAAAAAACTTTTTATTGTAAATTTTTTATAAAAATTTTTTTTTATAAATACATGAATTTAATTCATTATAGTTAAGTAAATTCATTAATTCTAATTACCCTAAGAGAATTTTATTTGACTAAATTTCTATATACTCATACAAACACACATAAAAATCCTAAACGTGCAAAACTACTTTCAAATGCTTACTGTATTCACCAAACGCATACATATGGTATTTAAAAACATTTAATAACATGAAATTTTAATAGAAAAACCATTTAATTAAATATGAATCATATAATTATCAATATATTGAACAAAAATATAAATTTATATTGTAAAGTAATAATCTTAAAACTTACTGGTGTAAATTCATGATTACGAGCAGAGTTAAACAAGTGAAATCTATAAAAATTTTAAATAACAAGTTTTTAATTTTTTCTAGCTTAATGTTTATTTTTCATCAATCTTTAGTACATTGTCACAGCATTGAACAAAACATTGTTACAGTAAACACAACAGTGGACAGATTAGGCATGGTGGATGGCTTTATCAACTTACAGTTTTACTCGAGTAGATTGCTTTACCACAAGAAGCAGTATCAACATAAAAATGACACACACACAAACACAAAAAAACAAGGAAAAACATCTTTAAAATTTACTTTGAATTAGGGTTCAAAGCAATAGCCAATAGATCAAGCAATGGAAACCAATCTTGCTCAAGTTTGACAACACACAACTCAATAAGTTTTTCTGTATTTTTTAATATGCATTTCTAAAACAAAATAAAATAATAATTATTAGGAATACTTTTACCTTGAAAGTGTTATACAGAACTTATGCAGAATGGGCAGACATAGGAAGAAAAAAAGGAGAGAGAATTAAATTGTGGTGGCTCTTAATTAAGGCCTTTAAAGCCCTAATAGTAATATACATATCAAAACTATGATTTTAACTAACATGAATTTCAAACTTCCAAGTGCTGACTGCATCATCCATTAAAACCTTTGTAAAAGATATTGTCATTCCTTCACTGAAAAATCTTTGACATGCTTCACTTTTAGTGTCTAGCCCTAAATGAATCGTTAAAAATTGACAATTAAAAAAGTACAATCACACAGTGGGCCAAACAGTGGACATTGCTCAAAAATCAATGTCACCAAAATAAATTTAAATTATCATTGAAACCCAAATAAATTTCCAGTTCATTAAAAAAAAATTAATTCAAAAGCATGACTTGTTCAGGAAATATACTAATTTAAATAAAGTAAACTCGTTGCAAAAGATAGGCAATGAGTATAAATGATACAGAAAAGTCGTTTTTGGGATTATATAAGAAAAAATATCATTATATAAGCAGTGCTAATGTGATAATTGTATGTAGAAACAATTTTAGACTGCAGTTTATGGAAATATGAATGTTAAATTCATAGATTATTGAGATTTTTTACATGTTATACCTAATGAAACAACTAAAATTTTGCTAAGTCTTAGTGTTTTTTAACTAATTTTTTATCAATAAAAATAATTTATCTCAAAAAGTGCTAAGTTGGCACTAGTAAACCCATATATTTTTAAACTTCTATAAAAAAGATAAATAAGATGCTTTTTAACTAAATTGCGCCAACTTAGCATTTTTGAATAAAAAAAGTAAAAGAATGACCCTACCTCTTTAATTTAAATTTTTGTAAAATATATTAAAAAATATTAATGCAAATAGTTTTACATTACTTTGTACATATTTTTGGGAAATGTAATGTGTTTAGCAAAAGTGTGTCTAGAAATTATAAAAAGGATTAAAACCATTTTTTGACCAAAACCTCCACCTCCCCTCCTCCTAGCCCTCTTTTCAATTGATCTTTTTTTTGACCAAATTTAATCTAGTTAGTACAACCATTAATTAATCTGTTTAAAAAGAATGAATTGCAAGAGTTAAAATCAAAACTCAGAACTTTGTGGTGTACATAGTAATAATAAAATATTTTTAATTATCACGTAAACTTGTTTATATTTTGAATTATATCATTTTAAGTTTAAATCATTTTGTTTAAAAAGTTATTAGATAATGAATCAATAAAAATATTTATATCTTTAGTTTAATAACAATGAAGCTCACTGAATTTGACATATTTGAAATTTTTATTGCTGAGGAAAATAAACAGCCAAAATTATATTTCTGTAAATATAACAGGTTTTATACTGATAACTGCTAAGGCACTTGGCTCTAATGAATTGACATTTGCACAAAAAATATTAGTTCAGAATAGCTGAATTTTTTAAGGAATAATTCTTTCAATAAGGTTCCAATAGAAACGATATCGATTTGATTGTGCTTTTGGTAGGCATTCATATACAAACCAAAAAAAACTCTTTTAACTACTGGTTTTAATATAATAGTTGGTAACATCTCAGAAGAAAACTGAAGTAACACCGATTATTATGAATTATCTTGAACTTTGAAATTATCTTTGATGCAAAGGATATTGGAGAACATTTTTTTAATATAAACATTGAAAATATACTAATATACTGATTATATCACAAGGGCTGGACAAACTTTCAAAACAATTCCAAACTGTGATATAAAGCCAATACAAGTAAATTGGTATCTTGTAATAGTGTTCATATTATTTTATATTTTTAATATAAGAACATACTTATTATTAAAAATAATTAGATTTAAAAATTACTGATATTTTCATAGGTTCTTCATGCTTTATTGGGTACATTTGACCATTTCATGAAAACTATTGTACGTGTGAAAGCTGGTGTTTTTGATTGGTCTGAGTCCCCTTTCAGGTATAAAATATATCTGAAAGGGGACTCAGTCCCTTTTCAGGTATAAATACTACCTTGATACAATTGGAAAAAGAGGAACAACAACATATAGCTAGAGAATTATTGCACAAAAAATCAAACAGGGATTATTGCATAATTGCCTGTTTAATATCATACAACATTTCAAAAGTTCGAATTTGTGCTCTCAGTAATTCAAAACAGTAATTTTGAGTATTTTCCTATAAAAAAAAAATTATGTGGATAAATGTAAAAACTATTGTACAGATTTTGATTTCTATTTAACAAGTTTCCACTTGTTACAAAAATTTACTTTGACCATGGATCAGTATAACACCATAACTTCACAAACTGATTGGTCATTCTTGGGAGCTAATTTTGGATAATAAGGAAAGTGGTTTGGAAAATCTCTATGATTCAGGGTTAAAAGGTAATAACAAAATATTAAGATTGATACATAATAGACTCTCAAAAAATAACTCCTAAATTTTCAATTTAACAGACACCATTAATTGAATGTGGATATCATCTGATCATATTTTATTGACAAGAGATACAAGCCAAAACCGTTCTGAAAAATGTCTCTCATAACATTTTATCTGAAGATGACACATATTTTAAAATGTTAACATATGAATAAATTACGCATTTCAGTACTTTTATTGATAATTTTTATTGTTTTTGCCATTGATGTACTTGTGTTATCTTTGTATTACAAAATATACATACATATTAATAAACATTTATATGGGACTTTCCATATCAAATCACCTTATCAACCCTCAGAATTGGGTCGGCAACTGCTGACCTGAAAGTATTTGAGGTCGGCAAAAAATTGCTGACCTTATTTCTATGTTTTATAGTCAGACCATTGTCAGTAAAACATGAAAGACCAGTCAGGTAAACATGAAAATGGGTAAGAGATATGAGGTTTTGTTGAGGTGCATGGAAAAAATTGGCTTAACAAAAGTTTTTATAGCATCAAGGAACAGATAAAGTAAAAGGATGCAACTTGTATCCTTTTAATAAGAAGCTAAGCGAGTGAGTTTTGGATGAGTTTTGATTGATCAAACTAGAGATAATAGCTTGTTTGAGCATTGACCATGGTAGTAGTTGTATAAAAAAGAAAGAAATACTTATCGACAATGGTAGATTTTATCTATTTAAAATATTAAATATTAATACTTTTATTGGAGATAAAAAACAATACAGAAGCCTAATGGTCCCCAGGGTACCACCTCAAATTTGCTTCAAATTTTGATCACCCACAGTATTTCTGAAAACAATACAAACCACAAAATTTCAGCTTGATTGACGGAACTGTTCAAAAGTTATGATTGATTTAGTATTGACAAAAATCAGAATCAGTACCTGGAGCTTAGAGCAGATTTTTTTAATTTTTGACAGAGCATAACTTTGTAAATAAAAAGTGATCACCTGAAATTTTGTATGTTAATAGTTTTTAGCCCAAATAATCCAATTTTGTAACTGTTATTGACTGATTTTAAGCAATTTTTGAGTTCTTGCACCTCAAAGTTGCTAAATAACGCAATATTAGAAAATTACACAATATTAGAAAAAAATTGGAAACTTTAATGAGCTACAGTTCAATGCCAACAGACAAGCTATGCCAATTTTTTGTTACTTTTGTGTACATAAAGTAAACACTTTTGCAAAAAATTAAAATTATGTGTTAAAGATTATTTTAGCAATCGCAACAACCTATTAAAATATCACTTTTTAAAAAAAAATACAATAAATTACATTCACTTTGACATAGAAAATAGCGAAAACCGTTAAATAAAATTATGAAACTGTTTACTGGTGAGGTTCTATATATAGACAATCACCAAAAAAAATTTTAAGACATATACTCTATCTTATGACATAATTTTAGCATTTCGAGTACAATGTTTTTTTAGTTTGAAAGGATACCTAATAGCGCAAGTTATTATATTTCAAAAAAATAAAAATAATATATAAAAATGCTGAAAGAAAAAGTGTATATACACATGAAACACAATTACACTAATTTCTTTATCTCTGATTTACATAACTCAAAATACTATCATAATCATTATTAGCAAGTTTGTAGTAACAAACATTTCTACCTTTAATGGATAGAGCACTTATTTGACATATCACTTGTTTGACATATCACTTTGTCAAATGGAACCCAACACTGACTTCATTGTGCATTATTTTAAATTTAATTTGTTTCTATGCATGAATATTACATTAACATCTTGGTTTTCATTACAAACCTTAAGCACAAGCCCTATGTACCATTAATCATCGTAAAAGCGTGCTTCAACGTGTTCAGGTTGAAAGTTTGATAAAGCTAATATTATTCAGCAAATGGGTAGCAAATCATAGAGTGTATCACTGCAGATTTTCCGTAAAAATTCTCCAGCTGGTACAAAAAGCTTCTTGTGCCTAGGACTGTACTTATCTATTCATATTGTTAAAACAAGTTTCATGGTTATTGATATAATCACTTGAAATGTAAAATATGTTATCACCTTTAATGTTTTTTCTTAGCCCATGTAAACAGTTAATTTGGTGTGAGAATCTGGTTTGCATTTGCTGCTTGTAGACTCTCTTTTGCTGCTTCTCTTTTAATAGTTCCTCATATTCCATCATATACATTTGCCATGGTATATAGCAAATAAGTGATGCTCAGCATTTATATTAAGATCTTTAAGATGGTAAATTAAGTTTAACAGGCATTAGTAATTTTTTTACTGTGACACAGCACCATCACTGGAGTATTTTACTTTATTGATTGTGGGTGGTTTGATTTTGATCACAGGAAGTAACTTAGTGAGAAAACAATAAACTGTTGTTTGGTCATGGTAAAGACGGTCAGAAATTGTACAGTAGCATTCACATATAAGTTGATTTTTTTATATTTGTTATAAATAGCAAATGGATGTAAAGTAGCTTGATCGGCTTGCCAGTAAAACCCTTGTACAGCATCTTGCACAAGAAAACTATAGTTCTCTACAATATCCATAATAATAAAACAAGTGTGTTGATCTAATGTTCTTTTTGCCGCTGATAAGTAGGAGGATTGTGCTTCTTTGATAAAGTGGTGGTGAAAAAAGTCATACAAAGTTTCACTTAGAGTTTCAATAAACTCAATAATGCTTGTTTGGACTGTGACAAGTGCAGTTCAGTCAGTTGACACCCATTGTTTGTATGTGAACTGATCACCAAAAGCAAAATCATTATTTTCAAACGCATTTTCAAAATAAGTCTTCAAATTTACTTCACT